TGAGGTGATACTCTTAAGTGAAATAAATAGGACACACATGTGTAAATACCAAATAGTTTCTCTAGTGTGAGAAACTGAAAGTGTAAATAAGGATGAAAAGGTATAATAGATAATGTGTAATAGGAAGAAAAGGGACAAAGAGGAAGTGGGAGGGGTGGGGGAAAGGAAAGAAGGGAATGGAATTAATATGAGAAAATGAAAAAATGGAAATAAAGTGTTTGTAAATAGGGAGGGATGGAAGGGTTGAAGGGAAGGCAAGGGAATGGGGAAAAAATAAGAACCAAGAGAGATTATGTAAAGGTACAAATTTCCAATGATGAATGCCATTATATTGTATACCTAAAATGTACCAATAAAATTAATATTAAAAATAAAATAAAATACAAGACAGATTGGTAAATCTAGAAAACCATATGTATCAAAATACCAAACATAATATATCTTCACATCTTACAAATTAAAGATGTATGAATAAAAATTATTTTACATCTGTTATGGTTTGTGTCTAGATGTCCCCCAAAGAAGCGTGTGGTCATAAGCTGTTTTGGAGGTGGCTGAATCTAGCGGGTCATTGATCCATGGTGGGGCTAGGCTGGAGGGCGCCAAGGGCATGAGTACTACAGTCCTAGGTAGTTGAATAACACAAAGGGGCGGGAAGATGCTGCGGAGATCTCTTGTTGCTTTTGCTACCTTCTGACTGCCATGAACTATTTCTGTTGTGGAAGGCTTGTCTGTCTCATCACTCTGCCTTGGAGCCAGCCAATTATGAACTGAAACCTGTATGAACTGTAAGCCAAATGAACTCCTTCCCCTTTTAACTTTGGTGTGAGTATTTTGTCTCATCAACGAGAAAAGTAACACAACATCATTCTCATTAAACATTTGAAAACAGTTCAACATTCAACATTAGTTCATCTGATTTGTTTTGCAATACTGAGGACTGAACCCAGGGCCTGGAAAATAATATGCAAGCTGTCTACCACTGAGCTAACCCCAGCCCTACTGGTTTAATTATCTATTGCTGATGAACAAAATGCTCCAAAACTTAGGACCTCAAAGCAATATCCAGGAAGCCAGGATTTAGCTCAGTGGTTCCGCCACCTGCCCCAAAGCAATATCCAATTATTTGCCCTGATTCTGCAACCTGGGCTGGGTGGTGCAGCTTGTGCTGGTCTTGCCAGTGGTCACACCATGTGGATACGTATGCATGCAGGCTAGGGTTCAGCTGAGGTGTGGCACAGCAGCACTTTTCTCTGTATTGTTTCAGGGTTTCTCCCTTCACGTGTGGCCCCTCTATATGGTCTCTCCAGCAGCCAGGCTGCTTACAGGGTGACACAGGAGTTTCAAGAATAAAAAAAGAAAGTCAAGCATGGTGGTACACATCTGTAATCCCAGCCTTTGGGAGGCTGAGGCAGGAGAATTGTCACAAGTTTGAGGCTAACCTGGGCTACATAGTGAGTTGAAGGCCAGCCTAAGCTGTGTATCGAGACCCTGTCTCAAAAAAAAAAAGGAATAGAAAGAGAGCTGCGGTTAGCCTTTTGTCACATGAACTCAAAGGGCCAGAACACAATTCCCACTCCCTTAGAGGAGTCAATGTAATCACAGAGCCAGCCCAGATTTGAGGTGTGAGGAAGAGAGGTCATCCAGAGTGACCAGACTACACCGCAAAAGATAGGAGACATTGCTGCAGCACCCTTGGAAATGTGATGTACCACATCTGCTCTACGATCTGAGAAGGGCTTGACAAGCAAGTGATGCACGTTAAAGGAAGCAAGGATCACATTTATCCACCTAAAAGGAAACTTCCCTGAAATAAGGATCTTTTGTGGAAGCCATATTTTATCTCAATGGAGTGGAAAACAAGGTTTCTACCTTATTGTGTAGTTAGGAGAAAAGAATACACAAAAGAAAAACTATAGAGATAGCACTTCATTCAAAAATGTTTAATAGAGCTAGTCTCATACCCCCAGGTAAAGTGTAACTTTTTCCAGATAGCTTTAGGGCCATGGTTCAGATTTCTTTTCTAATTGCAACCACTGGGAATGGTGGTGTAGCTCAATGGTGGAGAGTCCACTTGATTCTGCTGAGATTCTGGGTTCAGTAGACAACCTCACACATACCCACAAAAAGACTGATGACTACAACCACCAAAGTTTTAAGTAAGAAGTGATGAGTACACAGGAATCACAAAGATGCTGTTATTTTGGGGGTTCCCACTAGATGTTAGGAACTATGCCAACCAAGAACAATCACTGTTAATCCTTTCAAAACCCTGCAAATCAAGCCCCATCATTAGTTATTTTACAGGGGAGAAAACTGATCTTTTTTTTTTTTTTTTTTTTTTGGTGCCATAGATCAACTTGGTACCTTGTGCTTTCAAAGCAGGCAGCAGAACCACTGAGCTAAATCCCCGGCCCTGAAAACTGATCATTTGCAGGCCAAAAACTCTTAAAGAAACTCAAGCTTTTAAAAATATTTGGTAATTGGTCAATTGAAGAATCCTTAGTTATAAAGAATATCAGGAAATATTTTATAAATGCTATTCTTCATTATTTTTAAATTTCCAGTTTTACCCAATCAAGGTTCCCTAGAATCAGAATAATTCCTCACAAAGATGTAGGGGTGGAGGGTCAGTCTTCCACAGGACTTGAAAACCTTTCTGAAGCATCCATATCTACATCCAAAAGACCATCATTCATTCCATCAAAGAACACTACTATTTACGGTCAAGGAAACCTTCTACCTGGTGACTCCCAACACTACTCAGTCTGGGTGGAAAAACACCAAGCTGTTCTCCATAAAGATAGGATTGTCTCAGGTCAAAACTGGAAAATGTTCTTTCTCCGTCTTCCTGCCTTTGCCTCCCACAAGGCAGCAGCATGGATCTCTGCTGGTCCAGGCTTTTCCCCTCTTAGGGTGGGATGCTTCCTCACACATTCAGCAGGAGGAAGAGGTGGACAGAAGTGGAGGCGGCCCTGGGCAGCAGAGCCCCTCCAGCCTGGAGCTGGTATGGGCTGAAGCCAGAAGTCCCTTGGGGGAGGAGGGGAATGGCAGGGGCTAGGGTGAGGCATGGGTAGATAAGAATCTCTCATTCTCCCTCCTTTTCCTTGTTCCTCAGTGCTGCCACTTGGGTTCGCCTGGCCTGTGCCTTTTAACTGTCAGGGAGCCAGTGCCAAGCACTAGGCCAAGTCATCGTCGATGATGTGGGTTGTGTGAGTTCCAAACTGGCCTTCCTGCCTTTCTGCAAGAAAAACAAACTTGAGCTGGACCCCAACAAACATGACAGGAAAAATAACAACCCTTGTCGAGGACTGATAGGAAAAAGGCTGTTCTCCCCACCCCCAAGCCAGCCCCTGCTGAGGACAGGAGCAAGTCCTCACCTCAGAAGCCCAGGGGCCTCTGTGGCATAGTGAGTGTGGACCACCTGGCCATCCTTCTGAGGTGACCCGTGGAGGCCATCTCGAGAGTCCCTTTCCAGACCTCACAATGTCACCAAGAGGCATCAAGTCCATTCCACAGTTAGGTGAGTACAGGTTAAGGATCCCTTATCAAAAAGACTTGGAACAAGAAGTGTTTTGGACTTTCGATTTTTTTTCCTATATTTAGTGGAATAGCTTTGGCATGGGAACAAAAGTTAAACACAAGATTCATTTATGTTTCAAACACATCTTACATAGGATGAAGACAGTTTTATACAATATTTTAATGCTCTTATGCATAAACCAAAATTTCAGGGTATGGATAAAACCATAATGCCATATCGATGCCTTAAGTTTCAGATTTTGGAGCAGTTCAGGTTTTGGATGTTTTAATTAGGAATGCTGAGCCTGTATATGGTTTAAGCTAACCATAATTAAGCAACAAAGTCACATTCATTTTTATCAGTATCTAATAACTCTTCAGTATCAGTATCTTCCTGCTTTTAATTTTTAGTTACATTAGAAAAATGAGAGTTCAGAATGAACACTATCATTGGGTCTACTTCCTAGATAATATGCTTAAAATTCTTTAATGAAAACTATGGGATATATAGTAAAATGATAACACAAAATATTATTATTTTGGATAATTCTCCTTTATCAAATTTGTGAGCTCTCTACAAAGCCAGACTCTCCTATTTTTCACTGATACTTTTCACATGAATTGACATGCCACACATACAGAAGTGCTCAATTAAATGTTATAGTTAACTAGACTAAAAATGACAAGAATCAACATTTATATATACCCAAAAAAATGACAGCAGAGACTCAGAAGAGGTAGCTGTATATCTATGTTTGTAATAGCCGAAACGTGGAAACAACGAAATATTTGTCAGAGAATGATTGGACAGGCAGAATGCGGTAGATACATACCGTAGGATATTAGTTAGTGTAAAATAGGAAAGGGGTTCTGACACGTTACCAAATAGATGGACTTTTAAAACGTTATGCTAAGTGAAATACGCCAGTCATGAAACAACAAATACACAATTGTAGAAGACTACTCATAGAAGATCCTAAGAACAGACAAATCCACAGAGATAGAAAAGAGGGCAGTGGCTGCCAGGAGCCGGGGGTTGGGGAGTTAGGGTTTGCTGGATACAGACTTTTGGCTTGAGAACATGACCGTGTTCTGGAGATGAAACATGCTGATGGTCGCAGGACAATGTGAATGTACTAAATGCCATTGACCCAGACACTTAAAAATGGGTAAATTGGGCCAGGGATTTAGCTCAGTGGTGCCGTCGCCTGCCTCAGAAGCTCAAGGTCCTGAGGTCGATCCCTGGTACCAAAAAAAAAAAAAAAAAAAATGGATAAGTTGGTATATTATATTTCTGTGTATTTTACTGTAATTTTTTAAAACAATATTGAGACATCTAACAGATCTGTACTTAGCCCTGGCTGAAAAAGAGAAAATACTCAATCATGCTGCAGTCTTCCATGCACGGTTCTGGAGTGCTCAGCAAGCAGCAGTGACACATTCAGCACATTATCACTATCAGAACTAAACTGCAAAGTGACATCTAGGACAAAATTGCATTAGGAGTTTTGAACATCTTTTTTTCAGAAGATTTCAGAATATTCCTGAGAGGACTGTTTCACAGGCTAATGATACAGTGAGCTACTAAATCTTATAGTTTGATATGAAAAATAAACAACAAAACTTGATTTTACCCATTCATACCACACAAACAAACTTTTCAGAAAAAAAATGAAATTTTTTTACCCTGTGATGCTTCCTATCTTGGAAAGTTCTTCTAAACATAAAATCTTCTGTTCTTTCAGTTTTTTAAAGTAGCTTCTTGCATATTCCAAAAAGTGACAAGGACATTATGAAAAAAGGATAACTTTGGAACTGTCTTATACATAATCTTCTAAACCAAATATTAACGTGCTGATTTCAACACTCTGAAAAAGAAAATATGCTAATATTAATTGACCCTATCTCACATATTCAAAAATCAATTAACCAATTATTCACTAAATGACTCAATTATTAGTTTAATAAATTAAAAGAAAAATTGTGTGAGCATCTCAATACATGCAGGAAAAAGTTGATCGAATTCAAAATCCATTCTTGATTTTAAAAGAACTATTTATAAACTAAAAATAGAAAAGAACATCTATTACCTATCAGAGTATTTAGAAAAATCCTACAAGGAACACTGCGCTTTGTGGTGAAGTGGTGAAAGCATGTCTCCTGGGAGTGTAATGAGAAGAGAATATCTCCTGTCACTACTCCTATTCAACACTGCTGGCTTAATTGTATGGCAAAGTAAAATAAAAGATAAGTCAATTATGTCTCTATTGGAAAGCAAAAAATACAAATCTTATTCACAAATAATGATTTTGTGTTAAAGAAACCCAAAGGGATTTCAATATACACCTTTAGAATAATGAACTCAGTGAATACCAACATAAATACAAATGAAAGAATAGGATATAGAGGGCCGGGGATTTAGCTCAGTGGTTTCTGCCCCAGCCTCGCAAGCACAAAGTCCACAGTTCGATCTCCGTACCAAAAAAAAAAGAATAGGATATTAGAGACGCACTTTCCAAAAACCTTTTGCATATTTTGAAGAGGGTAAGGAAATAAATGATATAAGGTTCCATGATATAAAGATTGTAAAAGCTGGGTAATAAGTGTATAGAGTCTGCTGTACTATCCTATTTACTTTTGTGTTTATAATTTTTATTTTTTGTTTGTTT